TAGGTTTTCCTTTATAGGTGATCTGTCTTTCCTCTCTGACAGCTTTTAATATTCTATTCTATTTGGGATAGTGATTATTATATGTCTGGGTGTAGTTTTATTTTGGTTATGGCTATTTGGAGTTCTATATGCTTCATTGATCTTGATATCAGTTTCCAATCTCATGTTTGGGAAATTTTCAGCTATTACTTCTTTAAATATCCTCTTGACATCCTTTATGTTGTCCCCTTCTTTTTCATTTATTCCTATAAACCATATGTTGTTTTTCTTTGTGTCATCTTACAGGTGTTGAATTGTTATTTCCTGATTTCTTGTTATTTTTAAAAGCTCTTTCCTTTCCTGTTCACTGCAATCTTGTCTTCGAGGTCTGAAATTCTATCTTCACATTCATTGAGGTGTTTTTACAACTTTCAATGGAATTTTTAATTTCCTGTGTATCTCTTTGCATCTGTTTTATATATTATATACAAAATAAATATGGACAAATCTAAAGGGAGAAATGACAGCCATGCAATAATAGTAGTGGTCTCCAATGCTTCATATACAATAATAAATAGAACATTTCAGACAGAAAACCAGTTAAGAAAAAAACTGTAAACTTGAACAATGTTAGAGGAGACCAAGTGGACCTAGCAGGTACATATTCGGAACTTTCCACGCAACAGCAGCCAAACAGCTTCCCAAGTACATACAGGATATGAGCAACACCTAAGTATACACAGGATACACAGGATAGATCATATGTTAGGTCATAAGCAAGTATTAGATTTTAGGATGAGATCATATCAGTTATCTTTTCTAAATGCAATGGTACAAAATGAGAAATTAATAACAAAGAAATAGGAAGAAGAGTCACAAATAGTTGGAAATGAAATACACATTTAAATAACAAATGATTCAAAAGAGATAAAAAATTATCCTAAAACAAACAAAAATGGAAATATATCATACCGAAACTTATAGAATACAGTAAAAGTATCTTAGAACAGGTATCAATAAAACTGCCTGCACATAAAAAAGATCTCAAGCAGCCTAATTTTATATCTCAAGTAAAAGGAAAAGAACAAAGTAAGTCTGAAATTATAAGTTCTTAACAAATTAGCTATAGAAGAAATGTTGGAAAACTAAAGGCATAAGCACACACATCTATAAACAGGCAGTTGATGGTTGTTCTATTTAAATACTACAAAAGACGCCTCTCTCCTGGAATGAAGTCTCAGCGTTGCAGTTACATTCGTGTCGTATGAACTATAATCTTTACTACCCTTCTCTCACTGACAGACACTTCAGATAATTTCGTTCTTCTAGTCAACGTACACAGTTTTCTTCCTAGTGATTTCTGGGCTCAACTATTTCAAAGAAAGAGACATTGTGGTAGTCACTGCTAATTACGGGTTGTCTTCTGGTGAAATACTGTGTTGCTTACATTGTTCTGTTCTGATCTGCTTTGTTATGTCCTGTTTTGTCTTAATCTCTTTAAAATTTAAAAAAAAAACAAATGGGTTAAATCCCAATGGCTAAATGACTATCTTTGCCAAACTACTGTTCAAAAAGGTACCAGGATAGGATTTTTATAAGACATTTTCCTTCTTAACATTACAGGAAACATGACATTCGCCTCTATTTCCCACCATAAATTATATGTGTCAGAAAAAAAATTTTTTAAGTTTATCAGAAAAAAATAACAATTTTGTTCTTACAGATGAGTAAAAGTGGAAATAGCTTTGGAAAACAAACAGTTATAGACGTTTGTACTTGTTGTAATGTTACCATACATTTAGATATAATAGTAACCAGGAATCTAGAAATATCTGCAAGCTGAGAAACAGAAGCACGAGTTCTATAATTAGTAAAATAAAAATATAAAGCAGGTGAGACTAGGGTCAATTCTGAGAATAAGATCAACACTCCTGAAGAGCAGTGCTGTATTTACACCACCAAGACGCCACCCTAGACACCCACATGAATGCAGATAAACCCAGGGGCAGGATCCCCTTCTCATTTGAAAAACCATCTTCTACTTCCTGTCATCTCTCTTTTATTTTGCTGTTTATTTATATTTTGAGTTTCTCATATAAGAGAAACTATTCAGAAATACTAACAAAAAAACAACTGCAAGAAGAAAGTAGGAGCTTAAAAGGGAAAGGCAAAGACATGAAAACAAACTTGCCAGCTAAATTCAGCACAGCACAGATTTCAGCAGTTTTCTCTCAACCTGTCGCTGATTCAAAAATGAAAATTTCCTTCCCATATCTTCTTCTTTCTTCCTGAAGATAAAAATATATCTAATACCTAGAATATCTTTTTCACCGGATGTGGTGTGCACACCTGTAATCCCAGGTCTCAGGAGGCTGGGACAGGAGGATTGCCTGCCTGGAAGCCACTGTGAGTTCAAGCCCAGCCTGAACTACATAGAGGAATTCTGTCTCAAAAAAACAAAAAAAAATAACCTTTTGACAACAATTTGTCAAGGTTTTTAAGTATGCAATGTACACAAAGACCAGTGGTTATTTTTCTTATATAATAAACTCTACCAGTTGTCAGGGTGCTGTTAGGACCCAGGAGTCAGAGAAGAGGCAGCCGCAGGAAGCCGGGCCTGGGCAGCTGCCTGGAGTCTGGACAGCCAAGCAGCCCTGCCCAGCGCAGCCTTCTCCAGGGGCTCCTCACCAGGAGGACACGGCAGGGAGAGTGTGGCTGCTGTGATTCTGGTCCTGCTCTCGTTTCCTTACATGAACTACCAAACAGAGAGCGCATCAGCTGCATTTGCTCTGCGTGGAGAAGCAGCGTGTGGGATGTGGAAGGCTTCCCACCTTGCTAAGGAAGTATATGGCTTCCTATTTTGAGAAACCTTGGAATACTGGATTGTGAACTTGTCAGACAAAACTGTGGGCAATATGGTCTAGTGGCCAGAAGGCCTGGGCCTTATCTCGTTCCCAGGATCGCAAACAGTGTCGTTGTAGTTCAATGTATTTCTGTTATGGAAAGCAGTATGTTACAGGAGCCCCTACCGCCTGCAGGTCTAAAGTCCTTGAAAACGAAACGTATCTCTGAAGGTAACCGGAAGTTTTCTGGACACTATAGTAGTAGCATTCCACACATCAGTTATAAGAAAAGGCTTACAGACCAAGGGAAATGAATCGGGGTGCAGAGCCATTGGTCCCAGCTGTGATTTAAATTCTAGCCTTGCAAATTATACTAAGACCAAAACTCAGGGCAGCCTGACTTGGGGATTTCCAGTGGAAAGCACCCCAATGACAGGCGTCTGAAATGGGCCCCTCTTCCCTCTCCCCAGACATGCTTCCAACCTTCATACGCTGAAGTGGGGACCCCGGAAGACTGAGGTGTTCTCCATTTGTCTCTCTTGAATTTAACTTCATAGTTTTTAAACCAAGCACTCTGTGAACTCCTAAATTAAACATGCGAGGATCCAGAACAATGAAACATGATCCTGCATAAATGCTGCCTCACACTGCTCTGACTGATAAGGGGGTGAAGGGGGTGAAAAGCCTCTGCACTTCTAGCAGAAGGAGCCCGTCCGTGCATGACGGCAACCCTTCCTAACGCACAATTCCAGGGGCCTGCTGAAGGGCACAGGGGAGAAGGGTTTTATCTTCTTTATGCCGTGAAATATTTTTCATTAAGACCACGTTAGAAGTGCTTTCAATGACTTTATACGCTAAGAGAGCTTAGAAGCCTTAGCTGGGATAATGAAATCTTCAGATGCTGCCCTGGGAAATAGGAAGCTCTGTTATAGATGCAAAGAGCCGGAGTTAGAGGAGCGCTCCGATTTTGTCCTTTGGACCTTGGAATAAAAACTGTTTCACAAGGATGAGAAGTATGACCCCAAGAAAGTACCACTCGGGATTATCCATAGGCCAGACACAGGAACAAGCCTGGGAATTATCTGGAATGATTTCATCCATTGGGATTTCAGAGGCCTAAGGGAGCTTAGCTTCACCTTGTCCCTGCTCAGTCACACATAATCAATGGGGCACAAAGGCAAGGGGCCGCAGGACCCTCCCTGTCCCAGCACCAGGTTAGAGCAGTCCAGAATCCTCCTGGAGCATCTGAAGTACCTAGAAAGCACCTGCTCTGTGTCGGGCACTGTTCAGAGCACTGAGCAGCCCGCATAAGTGGACAGATTTATAACAGCAGGTGAGGCAGGGTTAAGGCAGAGGTCACAGAGGTGACAGGAGTGACACCGGCCTGGGGGGCCACTGGGAACAGCAGATAGGGAAAGTGGGGAGATACCCCATGAGTCACCCTGAGACTGGCTTCACGGGGTGAAGTAGGGTGCAGACTGACTGAGGGCGCCTGCCTGAAGAATTTCAAGACTACTTTTTTAAAGAAGCATCCCTGCCCTGACACTCAGGAGAACTTCTGAGTCCTCAGCCAAGGTAGTTTCTTCCTTCGAGCAAAAGAACTAGGAAGGTTGAAATGTTGGCTCCACTTCCGAAAAGCCCAGTGGCTGGTGGCAGGAACCAGCTCCACCAGAACACGGACCTCCCCAGTCCTCTGAGGGACTCTGGAGCACAGGAGATGCTGACACAGGAAGGAGGTCTTTTCTCCTGCCACCTCGGCAGTCATCTCCACGTCCTACACCAAGCCACAGACCACAGAGGGTCACAGAGTGCTGCTTGTAAGTACACAGACTTTGTGCTTGCAAGCTACACTACTGTTATAAAACAAGGAAACATTACTTTACACCCATGGAACATTCACCAAGAGTTCTCTGCCCATAAGGGAATCGAACTATATAATTCTATAACACAAAGACAATGGGAAAATTGTTAACTTTTGGAAGTCAAATAACGTAGTTCTAAACATCCTATGAGTCAAAGAGGAAGTCTCAAGGAAAAGTTAAAGCAGAGAAAACTAAGTGTAATTGAAATACAACAGGTCAAAATCTGTCGCACGCAGCTAAAGCAATGGTGGCCAAAACGAGTTAAAATACCTCGACTGTGGGCAGGTGCACGACGGAGAGCAGGCCTGAGCCTTACCTCAAATATAATCAGCGTGTAGACCCCCGCGAGGACGGCCGCTGCGATGACCACTTGGGCCTCGACGCTGACTCGCAGGTACTGGTGAGACAGCAGGAGGGGGACCACCCGGCTCTGCTGCGAGGAGCTCCGGATGCTGACGGAAACGTTTTCTCTGCAAAACGAAGCGCAGACCGTGAACTCCGGGTGGACCTTCAGCGTCCTTCCCCTCACGTCCTGCCAGCCCACATCAGCCCTGGCTCCGCCTGGGACCTGAAGGGATCGGGGCTCATTCAGCCCAACATGGGTCAACAAGGGCATCACTGGAGCCTCTCCCGCCCCATCCACGGCGTCCGCCACCCTGCAGCCCTGCCCCAGTAACTGGTAAGAGGCAGCAACCTACACAGCTGATTCCCCGCTCCGACTCGCCAATGTGCCTGACTGCTTTACCTGCTAACAGGTAGCCAAGCCAACTATTTAAGCTTTCATCACTGATCACAGTGGGAAAGCACCACAAATATTCAGCATTCAAAACTCTGTCAATATTATAAAGTTTGTGGCTTGGTAAAACTGAAGCACTTCTCTAAAGATCCGTCAGTTACTTTTGTGAACCTATTTGCTTCCCTGCAAAGCTCCTATTTTTAAGTTCTCTCCTCCACCCAGTACCTCAGAATATGACTGAATTTATACATAGAGCCTTTAAAGAGGTGGTAAGGGTTAAATGAGGTTATTAGGGTGCTCCTACCCCAAAAGACAGTGTCCATATGAGAAGTGTTAAGAAACACACAGGCACACGCATGCACGCACGCACACACACACACACACACACACACACACACACAGAGAGAGAGAGAGAAAACGTTGCCAAAAGAAGTCTCAAAGAGAAACTGGACTTTTGGTGCTGACGTTTCATCCTCCGGTTGTGCACTTGGATCCGGCAGACCTAGCTGGCTCGCAGTGACCAAGTGTACAGACTGGATACAGAGCCACGTTACTTAGACAGCCAAAGAATCCTGAACTTTCCTGTAAGTCCCCACTGTCTGTCTTCAGAATGGGAATGAAATCAGAACAGTAACTAAGACAGCTTTAGCTGCAAAGTGCATCCTGACGCCAGTCCTCCGCATCCTGACCAGGAGAAGGACAGCGCCTCTGCAGCAATTGTGCCCATGGTCCACCCTGCCTGAGCGCCTCCTCCAAGCTATGCAGCTCATCTGGGTCTGTCTGGACCATAGTTCAGTGTTCTATACACCAAGCCTTTTTAGGCGATTGCTATAACTTGACTGTGTCCCCTAAAAAGCCCTTATCTCCTAAATGGCATTTGGAGGAGGAGCCTTGGGAAGCAGGGAGACTAGGTGAGGTGTGGTGGTGGGATCTCTGCTCTGTGCCAGCGTCTCTAGGAGAGGAGCTGAGGAGGAGGAGTGTGTGATCTCTCTCCACGCGATGCCCTCTGCTATTTCCTGATGGAGAACCGAGCCTCACCAGATGCTAAGCAGATGCTGTGCTGTGCTTTTGGGCTCCTCAGCCTCCAAAGCAGTAAATAAAATACACTTCTGTTCTCTACAAGTCAACCAGTCCTGGATGTCCCGCCACACCAACAGAAACAGGCTGATAAATAAGGGCATGCCAGACAACATGCCCCAAGACCTCACTCCCGGAGAACACACCTGCTCAGTATCGCAAAAGTCCTGCTCACAACCAAGTGCTCACTTCTTCTTGGATTTAGAAGTACCGTCCAGTTGTGAGTGACCTGTAACAACCAAAGCATGCGATAGTGGTGAGGCCTTCCACCCGAAGTGTCACCTGGAATCCGGCACCATTCCGCTCAGGCATTTGTGATTAACAAGGAAAAGGGAATGAGGACAGCAACAAATGTTTTACATGAGACTGTCCAGGTGATGGATGCTGGGAATTTCTGCAATTCTGAGGACACTTTAAAAGGGAGGGGGCTGGGGCTCAGCTCAGCAGCACAAGCGCCTGTCTGGCAAGCGCGAGGTCATGAGTTCGATCCCCAGTACCAAAAAAAAAAAAAAGAAAGAAAGAAAAGTATTAATATATAATTAGTATACAAAGGTATGACAAGCCTAGAAGTAAGTGGAATAGTCCCTCAGGGCTGCCAGGCATCATTTCTTTGACCCTGAAAAATGTCAAAATCTCTAGATTCTCAAGTCCCGATGGACATAGTATTTGACCATCACCTGCATACATGCTTCCTCATACCCTAAATCACCTCTAGACTACTTGTGATATCTAATACAGGTAAATGCTGTGTAAAATACTTGTTACACTAAATTGTTTAGGGAAACTCACAAGGAAAAAAGTTCATACATGTTCAGGACACACAAAAATAGTTTCTAAGTATTTAATCAGCATTTGGTCAAATTGTTGGGTGAGACCTGTCAAGAGGCAGGACCAACTATACAAGCTTGTTATGAGTGAAAGAAACCACTAAAGTCGCTGAAGACTTGAGGTCCTCCAGTCCTGTAGCAACTTATAAGAATTGTTTCTTTGAACTGTTTCCAGCTTACAGCCTGGAACGTGTCCCCAGAAAACATTCAGCACCCCTGTGTCCCAGAACCCCCTGCAAGGTGGAGCTTCCTCAGCTTCTGGCAAGCCCACTGGAAGCCTTCTCCTCCCCAGGAGACCAGGGATGGGAGGGACTGATTCAGAGCACAGGGAAGCTGGGCACTGGGCATCAGGACCTCCAGTGGGTGGACGGGAGTCTCGCCCACAAATCACCAAGGAAATTGAAGCTAGGAACTTTGTGATCAGTCAAAGCAGAAAAGCTCCTGCATGAAAGAACAGAAACTCTCTCAACACAGGTCTTTGGAAAGAGCATATCTGGGAAAAATGCTTTAGTAAAGTTCTGGGGTTCTTCCAGTTTATGGAACTGATTGTACACGGGCATTTGGGGAGCGTCCACATGTTGTGAAGGTCCTTTCTATGAAAGTAGAAAGCTCAGGACAGCTCACCTAAATTGTGTTACAGATGTGCATGTGCTCAAAAGGCAGCTGGGTAGCAGGAACTACCTTAACCAGTGGTACAAAGTGCAGCAAGGTAACTACCTTCCGCGGTTTACGATGCATTTCAGAACAATCAGAAGAGGCTGAATGTGCCCAGACGTAGAAAGGATAAATGTTTGAGGCAAAAGAAATGCTAATCACCTTCATTGGGTCATTATTCACTGTATGCATGAATCAAATTATCATACTGTGCCCCAATCATGTCATACATTGATTAAAGTTTTTATTAAGGTGAAAATTATTTTTTAATTTAAAAATGAGTAGACTGCACCATCCTCTTCTGCAGAAGGATTTCAGACATGAGGTGGCAGAAGCAGACCTTTCTTACACACTACCAGTTGTCTCCTTGCTGTGCGTGAGCTTCACACGGGGAAGCACAGTTAGGTCCTAAGACTGAGGCAGAGGAGCTTGTTTGAAATGTTGGTGCTGCAGTGGCTGCTGACCAAGAAGCTGCATCCTTCTTCCAAAGTAGATCTTAGCTCTATGGGGTGAAGTCTATGAGCAGGAAAGTGTGCAGGGTGGAGCCCCTTAGCAAGTAACCCATAAAGACAGCTAGCACTTCCATGCAGAAGTCACTGCAAATATCCAGAACAATGCCTGAGCCAGGAGTCAGGTGGGTCAGGTATATGAGAAGGTCATGCCTTAGACATTGACAGCTGGGCTCTGGCCACCACAGCACTCACAGCTGCTGGCTCCCTTCCTGCCTGCAGGCTGCCTCTGCAGGATATGAGCCAAGAGGAGCCAGCACCGCGGCCTCTGGTTATAGACACGGAAGCCGCAGGGATCTGTGCATTTGGCAGCCATGCACACACCAGGAGGGTCCTCTGCACCACACGAGGAGGCCAGATGAAGTTGCACTTTACAACAAAAACTATTTCGAGTATTCAGTATCTCCCTGCATGGCCCAGTAAAATGGTTCTGAATGAAATTGGAAGTCTGATTTTACTGAAAAGGCAAGTTTTAGAAGTGATTTAGAGAAAAATGTTCACCAACAAAGTAAAATACAGAATCAGTGGCCTGACTAATAACAGTGTTATTGTGTTATGGCTTCCCATCAAATTCATTCAAGAGTAAACTCAATGGGATGAGATGAGGTTTTACAATTGCTTTCGAGTGACACATAACTGTAACCTGCTGTGGCTGTCGCCGCCTGGAGTTCAAAGCAGTCATCTGCGTCACCTCCACCACCACATGCTCTTCTCTCCCGGGACGACTTGGTGCACTCAGGGCCAGCGCCCCCGCCAGGCTGAGGTGGAGCAGCGTAGAGTCTGAGTGGCCGCTGAGGTTCACAGCTGAGGAGGCGTCAAGGTAAAGCACAGAGGAAGGGCGAAAGCCTGACACCTCCGAAGCGCCCCCGCCCAACACACCCTTTTTAGTACAGGAAGAAAAACACATTCCCAGGCTTCCTCCACCTGCCCTAGATCCTTGACAAGTCCTGCCTGTCCAGTCTGCACTCCTAGGCATGCGGCCGGTCCAGTTAGCGATCCCTCATGTCCAGCACTCTCACCTGAGGTCCCTGTCCTGCACCCCCAGCCCCACTGCACCTCGGCTTCCGCTTCTGCGGCTGTCATCAGACTCCTGCCCACAGTGGGCAGCCTGCAGGCAGCAGCTGGTGTAAGAGGGTGATGAGGGTCTTTGCTGATGCCCAGTCCACACAGCTCTGAAAGTCTCGTCTTTTAGTTTGCTAGACCTCAGGCTCAGCTAACACTTGGCAAGAACTCTGTCCTCTCCCAGACTTTGGTCAGGCTCCACTGATTCTTTTCCTGGACAAGACCTTTATCTCGACCTCATCTTTGACCTTAATTTTAGCAAGAAGTTCACACACCCTTGATGTGCAATCAAGCTCTTTTCCATCTCCTGTGGTAGCTGACTTTGGGGTTAACTTGGCTGGACCCCAAGATGCCCAGATATTTGGTTAAGCAGTAATCCTGGGTGTATCTGTGAGGGAGCCTCCAAAAAAGATTAGCACTAGACTTGTCTGCCTCGTGGGCCTGTCCTTCTCTCTGAGGACCCAGTTAGAAAACAGGTGGGGAAGGATCCGCCCCTCATGCCTGACAGTGGGGCTGCGACACCCGTCTTCTCCTGACTCAGGCGTCCTTGGCTTTCAAGCTCACGAATCTACACTGTCAGCCCCGGAACTCGGGCCTGCAGTCTGCATGACCGGCCTTCCCAGCATCCGGAGTGCGGAGGCTGAGCACAGGCTTCTCAGCCTCAGAATCATGAGCACCAGTGCCGCAGGGTCAAGCTCTTTATTTATTTTTTCCCTGTAAATCTGTCTGGTCAGTCTGGTGTACAGGACCCCAGATGGAGAGAATGGACGGGGAGAGGGGGTCTCTTCCTCTCCTACCGGTATCCGTTACGATCTCTGTGAGCCTAGGATTCAGCTTAGGGTATGGTGGAAAAAAGAGAAAGGAGGGGAGGAATGAGGGAGGGAAGGAGGGAGGAGGGCAGGCAGCACCAGTTAACCTACATGTCAAGTCTGCCGACCTCTATTTATTTGCCAAGTGGTCTGGTAGCCTCTGACAGGCCTCCCCGTGACGAGCATAGACAATAATCCAGGAACAAAGCGTTTCAGGTGCTGCAATTACAGGTTTCTAAAATAAACCTCGTAATTACTGAGCCGACACAGCCTGTCACCAGGGAAGGCGGGAGCTCACAGAGGAAGGTGGCTCTGTCATTGCCCCACTAAAGGACAGTGCTGCTTTCTCCAAAAGCCCTTCCAGCCCCAGCAGACGCCCATGTCCCTCAGAGGGCAGCCGGAGGTCAGGGCAGCTCTCTGCTTGGTTGGAAACCACAGCAGTATACTCACAGCCTCTCAAAATTAGCCCTGACACTGCTCTGGACCTGCGCTGAACACCGCTTCTCTGAGGGTGGCCCCCAGGGCCCCCATCCTCCCCATACCTCAGTGTGGGGCTCTGGGGCATCTGGGTGTCCACTGCAGTGCCTGTGACCAGCCAGCCCTGTCTCCTTCCAGGCATTTTCCAGGGAGCCCTGGGAAACTCGACTCAGCCCCAGGGGTGATGTTCCACAGAGCTGAGGTCCCCTCGGCACCCTGCCTCCTGCCTGGCTCTTCCCCTTCACCTCAAAACTCAGGCACTCAGGAGAAGAGTTCCAGGGTCACTCTGCTCCAAGAAAGTTGGGCCTGTGATTCTCTCAGGCCCAAAGAACTTTGCAAAAGTACTTCAGAATAAAAATGGCACCGTGCTGCTGGTGGGATGAGATGAGGTTTTGTTTGCTATGCTCAATCTTCTGACCAGCTTTGTTTCCCTGGGATGCCAGGCTGGCCATAGGCTTGCCACAGGCAGAGCACTGAAAGCCTCCCGGTGCCTCCCTCCTTACCAGGACTGCAGACGGGGTCTCGATAGAGGACCCCTGCCTTCAGGTTGTCAGCACGCTCCAGCCACCCGGGGAACCAGGACCCATATCCTGCAGCTACCATGATGCCAGTGTTCTAGGAAAGCCAAGGCCTGGTTTCTTCAACCCCTGGAGCTGACGATGAAGAAAAGGCACAGAAGAAAAAACCCAGTTTGTCAAATCACAGAGCTCTTTAGATCTCTCACAAAGACATACTCCTTAGACTAATACTCCACGCAATTTTAAAGTAGTGAAAAGCACAAAGACATGAGCATGAATGGCAGCTGGGCCCGGAGCAACACTGCCTGGGGATGCCAAGGGATTCTGTCCACAGAGGTGAGAGATGGCGGGACCACAGCCCTGGCATCCCGGGCTCCCTGAGGGCCACGAGAGCACCTGTCAGAGGTGGCCTGGCTGAGGGAGCGGGGTCCTGAGGAAGAGACAGTGACCCGCAGGGCGACTCAGAAACAGGCCTGTCCAATAGAAGGTAACTGACAGGAAAAACCCAACATTCTAAAATTTCAGTTCCTCAAGATGATGAACCAAAGATGCCAAAGGGAAAACCCTTGTCACTCGGTTCTCTAAGTGAGCTCACTCCTTTTTAAAAGCTAGTGCCCTACCTCTGCTTGTCTGTGGTCCCAGAGTCCAGGCCTTCAGGTACTGCTGGCCCCTCTACAGAGCACATCAGGAACTTGCTCCTTGTCACCGAAAGGAAGCCCTTGATGGCTTCTCTTTGTCATATCTGAGTCTGAACTGCCAGCATCACTACTCTCTCTTTGGGGTCACCATTAAATAAAATAAAAGTGATTTGCATTCCAAGTGTCTGATGCACCAAGTTATCACAGCAGTCACTAGCTTCAACCCAGCTGAAGTCCTAAGTTTTCATAAACCCTCAAACCTGTGGCCACAGAAGGAGAAGGCAACGCTCGTGTCCAAGCCTAGACACTATGGACCTCTGTATCTACTACCCTATGCAATGTGGCTTTCAAAAGAAAAATCCCAAGGAATACAAAAAAGCAAGCGAAAACTCATTGCAAAGAGGTAAGGCAATCACCAGACCCAGGGGACAGAGCCAAGGAAACACTGAAGATGGGTCAGTAGGAATGTCCCTTGCTGAAACGCAGGAGGACGTGGTGGGCGAGAGGACACAGAACAGAGAATGGCAGAGCCACAGAAAAGCCAGAATGTGCTATACTGTCGCCTCCCCTCCTTGGGGACCGTCACCACATCCACAGCCATCTGAAGAAAAACAGTATTGGCGACAGCCTAGGCTGCAATCTCAGTGACAGCAAGTGGGACTCCTGAGCGCCTCTTTGCTTGGTGGCTCTCAGCCCCTCCTGGGGCATACTAGGGATACAGTAGCTTTGTAGGGGTGACACGGCCAGCAGCTGCCAGAACTTCCCTTGATCCGGATACAGGCTGAATAAAATCTGGAACAATCAGAAACATTTAATGATGGACTCATGATACAAGAGCAACTGGACTTAACTAATTCTGATCACTGTTGGAAATAGAGTTAGCAGGGCAGTGATGCCTTACGCAATCAGGCTCTACTGGCTTAGTGTGGAAAGTAAAATATTCTGATTCATCCTATTATGTTTAACTATAATTGCCCTTGATTATTGATATTTGCCAGTTTTAAAGGTGAAATAACCAGCCACAAAATTAAACCACCCAAGATGGGTAAGGTGGTTGTGTTGTATAGGAGAGCAGTGAACATGGCCTCTCCAGCGGTTGGAACACGTGCCTGTGACACCACCACGTAGCCTTACACTCCACTAGAAAGCAAAGTGACAACAAGATGACACCGTACAAGGTCAGCGCAAAACCACTGGTGTCCCATGGGTCTGTCATCTTCCAAAGAAGGCTGGAGATGGGGCAGGAGGCTACTCCTGGGACAAGGGGAGCCCAGGCCTGCCCTGGCCTGCACCTTCAAAATCCCCTGGAGCCCCTAAAGTCCCCCTCCATGCCCCCATTTAGGAAGGGCTTCAGAAGCACATGCCCATGTGGGTAGGGATGACGGGCACATCAACAACAAAAAATAAAATTGTGATTTTCAGATTTCAGAACAATCACTTCTATGTGACACACAGCTTGTCTATCTCCGCTCCCCTCCCCGTGGGTATGGAGAGTTGACTGCACTTAGCTCCACGCGCGCTGGCGTCAGACACCACCCATGCTATGCATGTGCCTCACAAGGGACAGATCCATGTCACCCTCTCCTGCCCTGATCGGGACGGCACGGCACAGGTTCCTCTCACCCCACCCACCCTCATCCTCTCCTTCCAAACAAGGTCAGAGAATCAGACAAAGGGCCAAACGGTGGGCCTACACCTAAGATGCCCTACTGTCCTGGACACTCGAGGAGCTTTGGCCACTGGGCAGAGCTCTGGGTCATCCACCAGGAGGGCAGCACGGTACTCACGGAGCACAGCACCACGAAGACGAAGAGGCCAGCGACTTTCAGCCACCTCACACAGCGCCTGCAAGAGAGGACACGCTGGTGAGTCCCATGGCAACAGCGCGCCTGCCTGTGTCCAGTTTGCCAATCCGCAGACACCCTTGGGAAGCCTGCGGTGGCCTTCGCCAAGATGCACACAGTCCTAATGCTTTCCCTCGTGTGATGTGAAGCAAAGCTGCCGCAGTCAGGCGGAGACGGAGAGGAGCAGAGGGAAAGGACCCCAAACTAGACGCCGGCCTCAACTTCTCCAGCCTGCTCCAGGCCCCACGGTGGGGCCGGCAGAGACAAGGGAATGAGCTGCTTACCTTGGCTCTGTGACTCATATTTATCAACTATTGTCCCTGAGTTTTCTGGAAGGTGGAAATATAAATCATCAAATATAAACACAAATAGGTCAAGAAGGAAATCTCACTGTTGTCATGACTTGCTGTCAGGGTGCCTGAAGAATTCTGCAGATGGAAACTTGATCAACAGACCACTTGGTCAACCCCTATTAAGGACTTCAAAGCTGTTCCCGTCCCCTCACCAGGACCTGGTCCTCACCACACTCCAGATCCTACGTGAGCCTGGACTCAGCACACGCAGCCCACTTCTTTCTTGCTGGCGTGGGGCTCTGACACCACCAGGCTGGCATCCTCCTCCACTCTGCTCCTTCAGTAACCAAAACCATCCCTAATGACGCTGTCACTGCCTGGCCCCGAGGCTGACGCCCTTGCCGACTACACCACGGGCAGCCACAGGCAGGCTTTAGTTCTGCGCCTCACAAGGAAGCACGCTAGGACGTGAGCCAGAATCCACGCATGCCTGCAGACGGAAGGAGGAAAGCCTGGGTTGGGTGTCTTCATTATTCCACCCGCTTGGTTCACTTCCACATCTTTAAAATCCTTTCCGGTCCTTTGAAAATGTTAAAATTGCATTTTGCATTCTGTTAGGCTTAATTTGACAATCATTTCATGCTGCCAAATTATGATTCAACAGCTCCTATTTAAATGGGAATCAAAATGACATTTCTTTTTAAAGCACGAAGCATTAATTGAGCTATTTCAGACACAGAGTTTTTTACACACTCTTCTTATCATTCCAGCACTTCCTAGGCACTGGGAAGGGCTTTCAGGGAGGAGAACCTACGGCTGCAGAAAAGCTGCTGCCCTTCAGGAGGGCACGCCATCCTCCGTGGCTGTTTGCTCCAGGTAAGGTCCTCCAGACACAGACAAGGAGCCAGACCGGACCGACAGCCTTCTGCTGACCTGGAAAGCTTTGCTCCGTATAACACCACGTCATCCATTTGAACGTGTTCTCAGCTGCTTTTGAGCGGGATGTGTGAAGAAGTGTGACATTAAACCCAAGCATGTGCCGACCCTTCCTGGGCTGACCAGTCCTCCCCAACAAAACCCTGCCCTGGAAACCACCCCCAGGCTGCTCCCTGCTTTCTGCCAGGATAAAGCTCCCTGGTCTCCATCTCCTGGTTGTGCTTAATAGCTGTGCGCTCACCTGAGGGGGCCCCTGCACCAGTTACAGAGCTCAGATGGCACCGCATGCTTGAGTGGAGGGCCAAGCCCCAGGCAACTAACTATTCCATGGACACAGAAATAACACAGCCAGTGAATGTGAAGCCTCGGGCGTTCCGGGCTCCACATCTCCGTGCTGTGCAGAGGACATAGCATCGGGCGGAGCTGCTTACAGCCAGTGGAGAAAAGCACACGCAGCCCTCCCTGGCCCGTGCACCCTCCCTCCTACAGCTCTCACCTCACCAACACGTGTGCCCTCGGCTCCCCAGGCGTGCTCAGCCTGGGCTTCTAGCTCCCACGGAACAGGAGACCCCGATTCCTGAGGCCACAGCCTGGACGGCACCCACCTTTCATCAGTAGCTACAAAGACACCATTGACCACTACAACACCACGGTGAATCAATTCTACTCACAAACCTAAGGATCATGAAGCCTGCAACCTCCCAAACCAGAGGAATGTAGAGGATGGGGGTACTTGGTTTTGTCCCTGGGTTCCTTGCAGCTTCTTGGAAGGCCACCTTAAATGACTCTCACGGCCTAGGGAAACTCATCCTGGCCAACCTCGACAACCGCCATGCTCTGCTTCCCACTGTGGGTCAGGAAGGTGGAGACGAGGCCACCCCGGGCCTCCTCCTGTGGCAAACAGGAAGTGATGTGCGGCCCCCACTCATTACCGGAGCTGGCACCCCATCACCTACTTCAGCTTCAGCAGGGGCGCCCTGAGGCGTGCGCTCTCTGTGAGCTCCTCCTTCCCTGAAGAGGCCCAAGGTGACCATCCGGCCGCCTCTCTGCCCAGCAGGTATCTCCGCTCCCATTCGGCCGAGCTGTTTTCCCACGATTCCACATCGGCAATGAACTCAGGATGGTAGGCAGGTGTGAGCCGTGACCTGCAAAGTAAGAGCCTGCTGGTTATTTTTTCTAAAATAGCTTAGACAAAACAAAATTCCCCTGGCTATGAGGTGGAGCCATTACTGACCCACCCCAGAGGTGTGGCACGCCTCCATCTGGGACAGGAATGGGTTTCTCTTGATGTCACAGGACATTTTACTTAAAGAAAGTCTCCAAGGTCCCTCAAGCCTTCAAAGCGCACAATGGGTCTTCAAGAAACATCGGTTTTTTCTAACTTCTGAATTCTTCCAATATGGCTGTTTCTGGCTCAGCTTAATTAATTCCCACTCGTTTCAGAATTTGCTTTCTCCTCGAATGCGCTGCAGTTGCCGGCACCCCGGCCTGACATGCTTGTCCTGGAGCAGAGTGATGCCATGGACCTCCTCCTGCTTCTGTCATGGAGCAGGGCGGGGTGGCATCCCCACTCAGCATCCAGGACCATGAGGGAAACAGGTGCTGGGCTAGATGGCCTCCAGGCAGGGCCTGTGTTTACGAGAATCGAGAGGTGAACTTTCACCAGAACCACGCTGGATGTCCTAACTCACGTCCACCCCAGACTCAGCTCCAGGGCTGCCAGGCAATTCCCGTGTGCAGCACACCTAACCCTGGAAAGGTCGTGCCACAGTCAGGATTCTCACACATTTCGTACAATACTAGTGGGATCCCGACACTCGTGTGAGCCACGGTGAACTCTGTTGCTACAGAAGGAGTGGTGACTCCCAAGCCCAGCTAGCACTGTAATGCTCCTGGACACTTATCACAAGAAAAAACTCTTACTCATGAGGAGAAACTGAGAAACACAGCTAGGCTCTGTAAAATCAGCATGAAAACACTAACAAATGACATTGCAAACCCTCAGTGCTCTTCTCCATCAATTGTGACGGGAAAATGGTTAGGTCTCTGAAAAGGGCCACCTTCCTCATAACTGCTAGAAAAACACAACAATCAAAATAGGAACTAGGAAATGGCTTTTTGTAAATCAAGAAAAGAAAGTCAGGCTGGGGTTTAGCTCAGGCTTAAGCGCCTGCCTGGCAAGTGTGAGGTTGTGAGTTCGATCCCTGGTGCCAAAAAGAAAAAAACAAAAGTCAATTAGTGTCAGTGGTTTTTAAGGCTGTACTATGCTCTAGAACTTTCCATCAGAATCAAATATTCTTCACCCCATCCATCCATCACTACACTGGCCATTGCAATGGAAAACTAAATGTTTAGTTTTATTTCATTTAAAATGATTTAAATTCGAAAAATACATTTAGCCACAATGTTGGTTGGCACAGATGCATATTCCTGCCCTCAATACCCTGAAAAGAACATATTCTCTTCTAAAAATATGCAAATCAATAAATATTATCCTATCAAATCACTTGATCAAATCAAAACTGCAACAAAATTAAGTTACAAAAAGTAAAGCATCAAAAAGCCCTTCCCTTATACAGGTTTTATGCAATCCTGATAAAAATTCCAACAGCATATCTCACAGAATTAGAGAAAACAATCCCAAAATTCATTTGGAACCAGAAGAGACCTAGACAGCAAAGGAAATTCTAGGTAACAAAGGCACGGCAGGGGGCATCACAATCCCTACCTTGAAATTATATGACAAAGTTACTGTGATTAAAAGAAAGACCCAAGAATAAACGGAACAGTTTACAAGATGCAAAAGTAACTTCAATCACACTGAGCCATCCTATCTTTGAAAAGGGGCCAAACACCTTCAGTGGAAGAGTGGCAGCCCCTCTGACACACGGTGCTTGGAAACCTGGCTTTCTGTACGCTGGTAACTACACCTGCTCCCACTTCTCTCATCACTCACCAAACAAACATTGAAATGAATCAAAGATCTAAATACTAAAACATAAACTAAATCTGCTGGATGGTAGAATAGGTCGAGCTCCTGAAGACACTGCTGAAGGCAAAGACTTTATGGGCAAAACTCACACAGGAACTGTTACAAGAATCAACAACTGAGATCTCACTGAAAAGCTTTTACCAGGAGAAACACTAACACAGAGACAGTCCATAGTGTGGGAAAAAGTTTTGCCAGCTGTTTCTCAGACAAGGACTAATATCTAGAACATACAAACAACTCAAAAAAGTCAGACTCTCCAAATTAACAACCCAGTCCAAAGCTGGGCATCTGAAATGTATAGATACTTCTCAGATGAGGAAGTAGAAACAGCAAATCAAAATGTTCAGCATCAGTGATCATTCCAGTGATGCAAATGAAAACAACACTGAGATCCTATTTCACTCCAGAAAGAATAACTACCATCAAGAAATTGACAAATAGCAAATGCTGGAGGAGCTTTGGGAAAACAGGACCCTTCTGCACTGTTGAGGGGAGGGTGGACTGGTGCGACCACTGTGGGAATCAGGGTTGGGATTCCTCAAAAAACTAAAACTAGAGATTCCCTTCGACCCAGTTAGTCTCCTTCTTGGTAACCCCAAAGAATGAAAGGCATCACCACAGCCCTAAGTACACACAGTGGTTGTAACAGCTAAACCTTGGAAGCAACCCCATCAACTGACGAGTGCTAAAGATGTGGTTGTTCTGCACAATGGAGTACTACTCCACCACAAATAATAATAAGCTTGAGACATTTCTAGAACGAACCTTGAGACCATACTCTGAAGGGAAATAAACAGGACACACACGTATAAATACCACATTGTTTCTCTGCTTTGAGAAACTGAAAGTGTAAATAAGAACCAAAATGTATAAGACACTGTGAACTAGGAAGAAAAACATTCAAATGGGAAGCGGAACTCAGGAGGCTGGACTGGGAAAGAAAGGAAGGAAGGGAAAAGAAAATAATGAGAAAAGAAGGAAAGAAAGGAAACAACGCTTCTGTAAATAAGGAGGGGAAGACGGGCTGCAGGAAGGGGAGGGATGGGGCAAGAAGCAAGATGCATCACGTGCAGGTGCAAATTCCCCACGGTGAATGTGGTCACTGTGCACACCTAACATGCACCCATAAACTTACTGAAGTTTCTAAAACTCCTTCCCATATCACACTTCAGGTACAAGAGCGAAGGAAAATGTGGTCTGCAAGGTGACAGCTGTGAGCCTCTGACATGAGGCCCAACGCCCCACGCCGGGGTGTCTCTGGGCTCCCACGCTGGACAAACGCAGACAGGCACTGGCTTCCCAAAGCACTGCAAGTTCCTTAAAGCCTCGGGCCTTACAGAACCAGGAGCATTTTTTATTGGTTGATATATTTTTTTTAGATTAAGTGATTTTTTAATGAATAAGGGAGAGGATGAGATAAAAGGGGGCATAACAACATAACAATACAGGTTAAAGCATGACACTTTCAGCAACCTAGTGCTTCACCACCAAATAACCCAACTTAATAGTAGTTACCATAGAGTCTTTTTCTTTGAAATATTTGAATATAACTTCATATCCTATAGCATCAAATATATCAAGACTGTTAACACCATTCAAGTGGATAAAAGCATTGTAGGGAAAAAGAAACCCTTTTACAACTGTTGGTTAGAGAGTAGATTAGTAAAAACTCTGTGGAAATCAGTGTGGACATTCCTCAAAAAATTAGGATTAGAGGTCCCATTCAACCCAGGTATTCCCCTTCTGTGTATCTTCCCAGAAGGATTGAAAAACATCACACCACAGTGACATATATGCAACCATAAGGTTCAAAATATACAATAGTCACTGTGAAATGGGAGGAAACTGTTCAATAAAAAGAAGAAACTAAGATAGGGGAAAAGAACAAGGATAGAAGGGAAAAGAAAAAATGCAAGTTAGTTATACCATTAGTGTCACTTAGTTCATTGAATGGGAAAGGTTGTGCTAATATTGATTGAAGAAATTTTATTTTGTACTTGAGTGACTAAAGATAATGATGTGTAATTTATCAACAATTGTTACTTTTTCATTATTTTGTTGTGAAAATTTGTTTTACCTTTTCTTCTTAATATTAACAAATAAAGTAATATAAAAAAAAGCCTCAGGCCTTGACAGCTTAATAAGAATTCGAGAGAAACACGAAGGGCCTGGCTGCCCCCGGTGTGGCTCTCAGAGTTACTCATCAGGTGGAGGGAGTTCATTCTGCTCATGGAGAAGCTGTAGGCAGATGGGTCAGCGGAAGCACCTAGGCCCACAGCCTTCCTCCTCCAGGCCCCGCGGGATCGCAGCGGGGGCCACGCTGGACTCTGAGAGCTGGCGTGTAGGAGACAGAGCGACAGCCACAACCACGGCCATCACGTGAGCAAGTTCGGAAGAGGGCGTGAAAGTGGTGTTTGAGAGCTGAGTGCACAGGAGAAGCAGCACTGCCTGCTGGGCAGGGAAGGACAGAAGTGCCACAAAGAAAGTGACCACTCGCTCTGGGCGGTACTGCCCCCCAAGAGCTGGAAAGGGAGGGAGGGTCCTCTGGTCAGGGTGTGGTAGGATCTTTAACAGACACGGCTGGTCACCTGATACCACCCGGAGGGGTCAGAGAGACCGTCTCTGTGCTGTGAAGGAGGTGCAAACCCAAATCCCCACAGCCCCCTGAATCCTGTGAGCCTGAGTCTCCTATGAAGCGTGAGGCTGCACCTTCCCCTGGCTGCGGGCCAGGAGACGGTGGGATGCATCAGAGGCTCTGGGCAGGACAGACGACACAGCAGCCCGCCCTGCACAGGGGCACAAGCTCACTGAGCAGGGAAGGCATCTCCACGATGTCACCAAGTGCATGGCATGCAGGGGGAGCAGGCTTCCTGGAGTTTATTTGCAGAAAGAGGAGGAGATGGACCTAAAGAGCTGGTTGAGCTCTTCATCCAGAAGGAGAGGCTGCAAGTTATCCTCCATCAGCTCTGCTCAAGCAAGGCCAGAGCCACACAGCTCTGCCCCAGGAAGGACCTTCAGCCTTTCACAAAGCAGTTTTCCTGTGGGTCACACACACAGGGGTTTTCAGCTTCATCACGGTCAACTCTGGAGCTGGATAATTCCTTGTGGCGAGGTTTGTCTTGTATATGGCAGGATGCTGAGCATCCCTGGCCTTTGCCCTTAGCTGCTAGTAGCACCTGTGTCCCCAATGTGACAACCAGAAGTATATCCTGACACTGGCAACCTGTGCCTGGCTGGGAAACCCCAGCCTGATGAGACACTGTTGGAGCTGTGTGCATTCATGGGTGTGCACGTGTGCTAGCTGACCGTTGCAAGGTTATACCTAAGGTCATTTTGACATTCGTAAGCAATGCAAATCAGGATCATGAACATCCTCTACACCGAAGATCCAGCAGACACCAAAGATGCCAGGTAAAAATGTGTGTCTCAGGAAGAAATTCCACATCATAAATACCAAGGATAATACCAAGAAGTCTCATCACAAGGAAAAATAATCTCACCCTTTCTCTCTTGAGGAATTCTGAAGCAGAGGAGTGTTTTCCGTGAAGCAGAGGTCATCAGACCTGGCGCTGAAGAACTGAGGCACAGGAGAGGGAGACCTGGAAAACACAAGGAACAACCAGAATCACCAACACAAAAATAACCGTCCCAGCACCGGGCCCTCACTCCAGCCAGGAATGCATCGGAGAGTCAGGGATAAATGGGACAGGGAAATGGGACCAAGGTTCTCTGAACAGCAAGAAAGCTGGAGCTGACGAGAAACAACTGAAAATAACTGTCCTCTCCAGCGTCACCCAGACTGAAAATGCAAAGCAGACTCACAGGGAGCCCAGGGGCTGCAGGATCTGTACTTTGGGGCAGGTACAGGAGACTGTGGCCACACTGGCCTCCCCGTGCAGAGCTCCACAACAATGGTGCCTTCAGCCAAACTGGCCTTTCACACGGAGCACGCGCTCTGGACCAGAAATCAGGCCAAAGGGCTTCAAATGAAATGGTAAACAGAATGGCAGGGAGGGGCTCTCGGGGACAGCAGGCAAAGCCAAGCAAAGCACAGGTTCACCCTGGGGGACAGGACCCGCTAGAGGCCCCCCAGGCCGGCCACAGCTGGAAAGGCCACCAAAGTGGTATCATCCAGACCATGAGCTTTCAGAAAAGAAAATAACCACGCAGACACAACAGAGAGCACCGACGAGAGAGCCGCGCCCATTCCAGGACACATGGTTCAAAGCAACAAGTTTCTGAAGAGAAGCTGTGAATACCGTTTTCATTGCCGAATAGTTGGAACTGCGTCCTTTCGTATACTGGTCAGCGGGCCTTTTTCAAAGACCACAGACCACAGAGACGTGCAGTAGGCACTGTGGACATTCATGTGAGGGAAATATTACAGAAACAGCTGAGAACTGTGTCAGGTCATAAATGCACGGGGAAGGGATCGTAAGGAAATTTCTTCCACTTGCTTTTTCTCTCCCACACAAGCATTCACATGTGACATGGGCAGAAAGCCCCTGGCCTTGGAAACCAGACGAAGAAGATGTGGAGAAGGAAGCCAGCCCATGGGATTTAAGAACAACTCAGCCCACCTTAACCATCAGCCGAGTCGAGTCGGGTCCCCATCTCTCACAACTACACACACAGCCACGGCTCAGCGGGCCAAAGGCACCCAGGCTCCTCCGTGGCCTGTGGGACGCTGGGGGCACAGCACGTCCTGGAGAACCCACTGTTACGATGGCCTCCCTCTCAGACCGCTGTACAGAGGAGAAGAAACCTCCCGGAGGAGAAGCCCTCATCGCTGTGGCCTTCAGGGAGGAGGCAAAGCACAGAGACAGCACTTGGGGCGGTGCAGCTGTTTTACCCCACCACCGCGCTGCTCTGGTCTCGCTCTTTCTGGTGCCATCAGTGTGGCCCGATCAGCAGGGGCCCTCAATGGACACTTAGTGATGGGCAGGGTAAGCCGCGGTAACCGCTGTTTGCCTGCACAGATCGGCTCTTCGACTGTAGAACCGTTTTCTAAACCAGTGTCATGTCTTAGAGTCACCACTGGCCCTCGGAAGGGCAGACAGTCTCCAAAGGGAGCAGAGGCCCTGCCGCGCCTGGGAAAGCTCTGCAGAGTCAAGGAGAGACAGCAAGCAGCTCAGGGCAGCTTCAGCTGCGTCTCCCACAGGACTCACCCTCTTGGCATCAGGGAGGTAAATCAGAAATGGGGGAAGACGCCAGACGATGACACAGGTCTGTAATCCCAGCATTCTGGAGACTGAGGCAGGAGAATCTCAAGATCAACCCAGCCAGGACAGCTCAGTGACTCAGTGAGACATTGTCTCAAAATTTAAACAAAACAATTACAGGGCTAGGGATGTAGTTCAGCACAGAGGTCGTGGGTTAAACCACCAGGGTCACACGAAACAAACAGGAAAGTCAGAAGTCTGGTGTAGCACCCTGTTTTCTCCGAGGCGGGGGCTCATCCGGCTGATTTCATTGCTGTTTATTGTTCCTGCTGCACTTGAAGAACACAAAGTGTTTTATAATTGTAATAAAGTACACAAAGAATGGTTCCTAACCTCCTTTTGTATAGTTGTATTTCTAAAGAACCAAAAATAAAATGAATTTCAGAAGGAAATTTCCAAAACTGACTTCAGGCTGTTTCAGATTTCACCTTGCTACCATCCAGGCACCATTTCTCAGTGTCCAAAGTCCACACACACCGCACCACGAGGGACACGCAGAGAGGGCTTTGGGCCCTGTCACCCAGCAGGCCTCGGGCCGTGTCCACAAACTACCTGCACCAAAGATTCAGGATCATCCAGAAACCAGGTTTCTATAGCCCAGAAATCAATCAGTCCCCAGAACCAAGAGCCTCATCTGTTTCTTGTGATTTATTTAAGGCAGAAAATAATGGTGGGATAAATATCATTTCAGACCTTTTTGATTCTGGAAAAAGGACTCCCACTGGAGCTTTTCTGACGTTCACGTCTCTCTGGTTTCACAGATTTCAGTAGTGGTCTGGTTTCCCTCACATCTCAAAAAATTCAGCATAAACATTTGCAGAATTCATAGGGGCCTTCACATTTATAACCAGGAAATACTTACTTTGAACAACTTTGAAATTATAGAAGATGATAACAAATTAAACAAAGTATGTAATTCTATAATTCAGAGGTATTCAAAGCTCACATGTAAAGAAATTCCTCAGTTGTCATTTCCCCTACATAAAAGAATATTTTTAAATCACATGCAAATATGTGTGTACGGCGCGTGTTCACATACTTTAGTTGCTTTCTTCTCTGTTCAACTTAGCTTTCCATCTCATTAGCATTTCCCACGTCATTAGCGCTCCTCCCACGCATCGCTTTAATACTGGCTACCACATTTCACTAGATGGATTGCTACATTAAGCTTGACCGTCCATCTGCTGATGACCACCTGGAGGATTTCTGGGATAAGTAACAAATGCTCTGAGAGTCTGGTTAGACAAGTCTTGGTGGGTACCAGGTCTCAGACGGGGGTCAAACCTTCCTGGTACCCGAAGTCCTCCCTCGGGAAGGTCCAGTCTCTACTACTGCACCAGAAACAAATCTCCAGCCCCTCTGGTCCTGGATAGTAGCCAAAGGCTAAATCCTCAAGCAGCAAATTTTTAAAGAGCCAGAATGAACCAGTCTGTTCTGAGTTCACCACTGTCAGGGAACCCCGCAACCAGGACAGGTTCAGAAGTTGGTGCCCATCTGTCGCAAAAGATTTCTGTCTCCCTGTGCCTACCTCCTCCCAGATTCTCACTTGGCAGCCCTGTAATCATTGCTGAGGAAAAAGAGCTAAAATCAGCAGAGGGCATCAGAGAGACCACAGGCAAGAAGTAGAAAGCCCCCACGAGCCACTGCTGGGTTTTTGCCGAAATCTCAAAAGCCATTTTGGAAAAAGGTCGGGAGGAGAAGGGATGGCTTAGTTTGAAGACTCTGAGTTCCATTCTTAGTACCAAGGACAAAACAAAACCACCAGCACTGTCTTTGCTACTGGACAGAGAGACACAACCTGAGCACAAAGGAAACGTGAGCAGGGACAGGAGTGGTCATTTCCAGCAGGGCTCTGCAGACTGTGTCAGCGGGAGCTTCTCTGCCTCAGCAGGACAAGCAGGAAGTGGACTCAGAACAGTGCAGGGAGCCGTCCTCAGTAACTTCTGTCCTAGTAGGGTGCAGAAAATTCCCATGTCCTGCATCTCCAGAGCCCAGCAGACATTTCTCTCCAGGATGGTCAGCTGAGGCCCACCACAGTGGTGACTGGAGTTGGGCTTGATGGTGCACACTTGTAATCCCAGCAGCCCGGAAGGCTGAGCACCTTAGCGACTTAGCAAGACACACATTTCTCAAAAAAGTGCTGGGGCTTGTAGCACAGTACAAAGACCCTGGGTCCAATATCCAAAGCGACCAAAAGAAGTCCCCAGTGTGACTGTGACATAGGAAAACTAAAATCAGAACATGAAACGCTCGCGGTGCCAGCTGCGGTGCCAGCTTCTCTGCCACACGAGAGGGAAGGCCAGGCTGAGTCCTCTGCAGGGCCAATGGGGCAGGCGGTGGTAAACACCCAAAGGGAGGACGGGGAGCAAAAGCACAAAGCAGGCTTAGCGCTGCGGCAGGAAAGGAGCTCAGCTGGCCGTGGGTCTGCAGAGCAAGGCGTCCAGCTAGGACACTACGGAGCCCTGCAGCAGGCTGGGTGCCCAGGGCTGCACCCCGCACGGACACTGCACCCAGGTCCCTACTTTGCCTGGAGTGGCTCAGAGAAAAGTCAGAATGCAGACCCTGGCTGACAGCCACACCCCCAGGAGTGGCCTGCTAACATGTGGAAGTGTAGCCCACGGATCAGACTTGCCCCTGCAGGAATGAGAGATCTGGTGGCAGCCCAAGCTCCTTCTGCACCTTCTCCCCAAGAGGAGAATGGAACGGGATTGAACACAGAGTAAACAGCGGGGAGACAGAGCTGCTGGATCTGGACCTGCTGGACACTGACCCACAACCCAGAGGGCAGCGCAGCCTTCAGCAGCCTCAATGGCTTCTCCTACTGGGCAGAGGTGGGGAATGGGGCTTAGGAAAGATTCCGCGTCCCTCCTGTTAATCAGGGTCATCCAACAGTAGACGTTTCAATCACTGTCTCCAGTATAAACACCCGGCGGCGGGGGAAACACAGGACTGGAATCGTCCCTCGGCGGGTGGACGGTGCACGTGAGTTTGAGGAGGAGCCGTTCCTGCTGCTCCCAGGGGGCCCTCTTCCTTGTCCACCACATCCAGGGTTACTCCAGGTTTCCAGCCGCCTTTCTGCTGCTTCACTGATTAGATGTATAACTCACACTTTCCATTTGTTTTCCACCTTCTTCTTCTCTTTCCTCCTTCACTCTCAAACCTCCCCTCTCTCTTCCCTTTTTTATTGCTTATAAATATTATTATTAAAGCTTTTTTTCACCTTTCCACATTACTCCCCCTTCTTTTCCTGGGTTAATGAAATAATAGCAGCTCTCAGGAGACACTGGTAGTTCTTCCCCTGGAAGGGCTGCAGTCTGCCACACCGCAGCCACTTACCAGGGGGGCGAGCTGCTTGCAAGGTTTCCCAGGTTCCTAAG